ATGTAATTGCGTTATTATTGTTTATTATTTGCGTTTTTGGTTTTGTTTTATTTCATGTAATTGTTGTTTTGGGCTTGGCCTCATGTAAGCCGCACCGAGTTCCCATTGGGGAGATGGAGCGGGGTACAAATAAAGTATTATTATTATTATTATTATTATTATTATTATTATTACAACCATGTTTAAATGGATGTCACCTGGAGGATGGGGCAAGCTTGTTTTCTGCTGTTCCAGAGACTTAAGGCAGCAATGGATTCAGATGGTTTCAGTAGAAAAGTAATTCTACGAGGGTTGAATGAAAAGTAATGCCTACACCTTCGTACCTCCTCAACAGATGGCAGTACTGGTATGTGGCAGGTACTGGCTTGTTCAGTAGCCTCTCCTCTACAGTTCCATTTTGGCAGGAAGCCTTAGCCTTGAACAGTTGTGTTGTTAAGGTGCGAAGTATGGAACCTTGCACAGACGGTCGGTCAGTGCGACTTAAGCAACATTCAATCATTAAATCCTTGACAGCAAAAGGTGTCACCCGAAAGGAGATTCATCAGAGAGTGCAAGCTGTTTATGTGGATTGTGTTGATGTGAGTACCCCTTTGAGTCCCCCTCGGGGTGAGAAAAGCGATATACAAATATTGTAAATAAATAAATACTGTTCGTCGTTAAACGAGTAAGTTTAAAGATGTTGAGGTGGGAACATTTGACTTGCATGACAAACAAATAGTTGGACATCCTGTGACAGCAACCAGCGAGTTTCACAAGCCAAAGGTTGACAGGTTGATTCAGGACAATCGTCGTATCACTCAGAGAGAAATTTCAAGCATAATCAGCATTTCACAAGAACGTGTGGGTCACATTATTGCTTTGCTTGGCTATTTCTTTGCTTGCTTTGCATTGTGCCATCTGTGCACAATGGGTTGCGGAAACAGTGTTGACTTCTTCCGTGACAGCTTCAGAAAACTTGTTCATTGTTGGCAGAAATGTATCCAATTGTCTAGTGATTATGTTGAAATGCAAATAGTGGTAGTTAAAGAGTACATTCCAAGGATTATTATTATTATTATTATTATTATTATTATTATTATTATTTCACGCATTTCTACCCCACCCTTCTCAACCCCCAAGGGGGGACTGATTTATTAAAATATTCCCATCCAAACCCAAGTAACGAAGGTGGAGGCATTATTTTTGATTCAACCCTCATACCTAAACATTAGGAAGAACTTCCTAATGTTTAGGAAGAGTATTACATTCCTAGTGTAATGAGAGCAGCTTGAAAAGTTGGGCACGTGTAGCCTGAAGAAGAGAAGGCTGAGAGGAGACATGATAGCCATGTATTAATATGTGAGGGGAAGTCAGGGAGGAGGGAGCAAGCTTCCTTTCTGCTGCCCTGGAGACTAGGACGCAATGGAACAATGGCGTCAAACTACAGGAAAGGAGATTCCACCTGAACATTAGGAAGAACTTCTTGACTGTGAGAGCTGTTCAGCAGTGGAACTCCCTGCCCAGGAGTGTGGTGGTGGCTCCTTCTTTGGAGGCTTTTAAGCAGAGGCTGGATGACCATCTATCAGGGGTGCTTTGAATGTGATTTTCCTACCTCTTTGCAGAATGGGGTTGGACTGGATGGCCGACAAGGTGTTTTCTAACTCAAGGATTCTATGATTGTATGATTCCTGACAGTAAGATCTCTTCGATCATCTGGAGAGGCCCTGCTCGCTCTCTTGCCTCCCTTGCAGGCGTGATTGGCAGGGACGAGGGAGAGGGCCTTCTCGGTGGTGGCCTCCCCGACTCTGGAACTCACTTCCAAAGGATATCAGGCATGCCTCAACATTAGTAGTCTTTAGGAGGAGCCTGAAAACGTGGCTGTTCCAGTGTGCCTTCCCGGAATAGAGAAATAATTCCCAGCAAAATGTCCTCAGAATGCACTTTAATTACTGGATTGTGTTGGATTGCGCCTCTCACTTCTTTAAAACCCTCCTACCAGATATATCCTATCTTGTTCATGCCCACTGTTTATTTTCTAATTTTAAACTATTACATTTGGCCTGGCCATATGTTTTTTTAATCCGCGTGTGTTATTGTTATATGTGATTTGTATTAATTTGTATTGCGTTGTATTGTTTTGTTTATTGCTTTCCTGTTTTATTGATGTGTTGTTGGGCTTAGCCTCATGTAAGCCACTCCGAGTCTCTTGGGGAGGTGGTGGCGGGGGATAAATAAAGTTTTATTATTACTACTAGCTGTCCCCTGCCATGCGTTGCTGTGGCCCAGTCTGTGTATATGTGTTTTGTGTGTGTATATATTTGTGTATATATGTGGTTTTGTGCATGCATTGTAATTTTTTTTTTATTTTTTGGCTTTTTAAGTATTTTCTGCTGTGTTTTTCAGTGTTTTTTGAGTGATAGTCACTCGTTTGCCTGATAGGTGTATTGTGTCCAAATTTGGTGTCCATTCGTCCAGTGGTTTTTGAGTTATGTTAATCCCACAAACGAACATTAACATTTAT